ATGGTTTATCAAGGTTAAGTACATTTTTTCCCTCGAGGAAATATACCTGATAAAGTGATTCTCTTGCTACAAGAAAATCTACTCAATGACTGTATAATGTGCGATGCCTTTTATTTAATCTTTTGACTCCCGGCGGCGAATATATACGTCCGAATCTATTTATCGTTTGTTAGGTGGTGTGTCATAAGAGTATAATTCTTCTTTGTTTCCTTTCGGTTTGATATCATCAGAGAATTTTTGACAAAGTTCAGACTACAAAATTGGAAAATCATCGACAAGATCTTCTCCTTTGTATTTAACTGCTCGACCTTTATTCCATAGTCTTCGACATGATATACATGTCCTAACTGAAATATATCTCTATGTTGTATTGTTGATTGCTTCAAAGAGTATCATACAAAGATGAACTATTAATGTTTTTTTTTAACACAAAAATGTAATTTCCTGGTGACAAAAAATTAAAATCATATTTAAATATTACTTTTATGTTCGCAAAAAAAGCTGAGAGTCAAAGAGGTAATGTACACCTCTCCGTGTTGTGTCCTATAGGTGTAGTTAGTAAGAATTGGCATATCAAATCAATTCTGTGATTCGCATTGAGAACAAGAGGAAATCTAATTTTCGAATATCGACTTGATTATGAAAAAAATGCAATATCTTCGCAGTAATGAGTTAAAGATCAAAACACTTTCCAGAGTACTCATGAGTAGAGAGCTGTGGGTCCACATTTTTTTGAACCCAGAGCCGGTTGGATCCGAGTCTGGAGGGAGTCGCAGCTCTCTACTCATGAGACTCTACCAAATGCTTATATTACTCACTTGAACACAATGAATCACTTAGTTTTTAGACCTTATTGAAAACCTTCTTTCATTTTGAAACATATATTTTCCTTGTTTTTTGTCTATTTTTGAGGACATTCTCGGTAAAAAAAAAAAAATCTTACTTTTCTTGTTGATGTGTCATTTCAGTTCGATGAATATCTTCTTTTCGTTGAATTTCTTGTTTAATATATTGTTGTACTTCAGTTGCTTGTAAATCAATTCGACATTTTTCAAATTCTTGTCTATAAAAAGAGTATAATTAATAAAATAAAATGCTCAAATATTTCTATTAACTTATGTTGAATTTCTCTTGTTGTATAAAGTTCTTGACATTCACGTAATTGTTGTTTAATTGTTTTTAATTCTTGTTGTAATATTTCATTTTCATTTTGTAATGTATTACAACGACGTTCCCAATTTCGAATTTTTTCATTCTTAAAAAAAAAATAATTATTTGATTAATTAGATGATTAAAAAAAGTCTTTTTTTTGTTCTATACCTCAGTTATACGAAGTTCGTTTTTTTCACTTTCTAATTTACTTAAACTACTTTCAAGAGTTTTAATTAATTGTAAATTTGTTTCTTGAGCTTTTTTATATGAACATAATTGATCATCTGTACTTCGAAGACGTGCCTATAGAAATAAAAAAAAAATATTTTTAAAAATATGTTATATCAATCAAATACTTTATAATCATCAAGTATTGCAGTTAAATCTTGAAATTTTGATTTTTCATCAGCTAATCTTTGTTTATGTTTTTCTGTTAATTCATGTAAAATTGTTTCATTTGTTCGACCATCATTAACTATAAATAATAAAAAAAAAATTTATTATTAAAATATTTAAAATAAAATTTTAAACCTCGTTTTTTAAATTCATTAATAATATCATTTAAATGTTTAATTTCTTGTTCAGCACGCCAACGTTTATCACGTTCATTATCTAATTCACGTAATGTTGATGTATATATATCATTCATATCATCATCACGACTTGATCGATAATGATATTCATCACAATCACGTTCACGTATTGTATTAAATAAATGTTGTTCATGATGATGATTTATTGTAAATGGACGAGTATTTTCATCAATCATACTATGAGATTTTGGTTCAATTATCGCAGGTGGAGAAGAATTATTTAATGATACAGGATTTTTCGTCGAAATTTTTTTACTAAAAAAAAATGATATTTTATTTTACTTAGGACGGTATAAAAGTTCTGGCTACGGTATTGAAAGAATCTTGTCGGATGAGGTGACCTATTCAGAAATGAAAACTTAAATCTAACATGTTGTATAACTTTTTTCAGGCGCTTCGAATGGTATATAGCAAACCCTGTTTTCATAAGATTTTGAAGGAACTAGAGTCAATTTACTAATAGACGACCGGAGATCCCAGTGCAAAATATTACTAAAAATAACGGAAGAGAATGCATTCATAAAAATGTAGAGACTTCTCTTTTACATGAAGAATGTATATTCTACAGCTTAGCGAACGTTTTCACAAACAAAAAGAAAAGTTCTGAGTTTAAAGGAACTCATTCTTTACTGTTCCACACTAGTACGAAATGCTTTCTTCTCATTTCAAAAATCGTTCTCTATCTGGATAGAATGCGTTCCATGAGCCAATAGAACGTGTCTCTGCGCATCCTATTTCGAAACAGTCAAGATAGGATTCCATCGAAATGAGACCCCTTTTTCTTGAAAAACACCTGAGAATGGATTCTTTTGATTGATGAACGCTTTCATCTGAATTTAACGTCACTTTTGATTCAAAAATGACAGCTCTGAAGTACGACACCCTGAAACTGGTGGAACCTTCAATTAGTCATACTTTACAACTGACAGTCCTGATTCCAACAATTTTTTTTAAATAACAGTTTGAGCTACGAAAAATTAGAGCACACCATTGGATAGAGCTCGTTGAGTTGCATCAGAATCGATCTTTCAAAAAATTATATCCGAACTTCTCTTCGAGAACTCTTATAGTGAATCTTAATTCAAGCAACGACCAAGAATGCGTTCCAAAAAAGCTGGAACAGTTAAGAACGCATTTCAAAAACCATGGAATGTGTTCTTAATGGTTCCATTTTGGAACGCTTTCCACTTTTGTTGAAACGTTTTCTTTTCTTAAAAAAAGGGCTTTTAATTTTATGGAACGCGTTCTTTGAAGCAGATATTTTTCACTGGGATGCAATATATATGAGGTTGTAGTCCGTCAGAAACTCTACAAAATCGTATGTGAGAAAAAATATTTTACAAATACCAAACATCACAATATTCAGTAATTTATCATGCTTGGACATGAGTGTGTAGTCCTCTATCAGTAAATTGATTCTAGTCTCTTCAAAGTCTTATGAAAATAAGATTTTCTATATACCATTCGACGCGCCTGAAAAAGCTGTACAACATGATAGATTTAGTTTTTCATTTTTGAATAGATCATCTTATCCGACAAAGATCCTTTAAATGCCGTAGCTAAAACTTTTAGACCAGCCTCAATATATACGTTGTTGTTGGTTGTTGTCGAGGTGTAGATTGTATAACAGTATTAGCCATTGTTGATCGTGGTCTTAAACGAGAAGTTTTTGTTGGCATTGAATCTGATTCATTATCAGTAGATGGAGATCGAGCTGAATTGCAAAAACAAAATGAAAGAAAGAAGATTTTTTAAATTAATAAAAACCTGAACGTTTATCATGAATTAAAGGACGTCGATTTATAGATTTTGAATCTATTTTTCTATGATGAGGAATACAATCACTTTCCACTGCCTTATAATAAAAGAATGATAATAAATAAATATCAATAAAAACAAAACTACCGAAAGAGATCCATTATGAATATCAATACTTGTTGTTGTACTTGATTCCATAGGTTTTGGATTATGTCGAAGTGCATTAAGTGCTGCAGCTATTTTTGGATATTGTTGTGATAATGAATTTGTTACATCATGCTAAATTATTATTATTATTATTTTTTTTAAACAAATCTTTTTCTTTTCAAATAGATCATACTAATTGTTCTCGTGTTTCATTGGTTAAACCAACATACTGTTCAATTCCTAAATACAAAAGAAACAAAAAAATATCGAATATTTTTTTATTCTTTTTTATTGAATAACCTGTAAGACCTTGACTATTAAGATCTTTTTTTCCATGTTTATCCATTCCATCAAGACTAATTAATGTTCGAAGACGATTAAATAATGTTATTCGATAAGCTATTTTTTAATATATAAAAAATAAATAAATAAATAAACAAAAATTTGAATTTATACCATCTTTTTTTGCTATTGGATTTTCTCGAAATGTAAGATGTTGTAAATGAGAAAGACCATTCATATTTTTAATAATATCATCCAAAGAACTTTTTGTTTTTTTTTAAAAGAATAAAATATTAATCTTGTTATCTTAATAAATATATATATATGAATTCTTACTCAATATGATTTCCATGCATTTGTATTATAGATAAATTATATTCAGATCCCCAAAGATCTTGAAAACCTTGTAAATATTCAATTTTATTATATGATAAATTAAGCCATGATAATTTTCTATTATGAAATCATATTTTAAAAAAAAATTTTTGTTTTTTACGTTTTTTTTACTTTAATGCAAATAAACCTTCAACAATAACAATTTTATTTGATGCTAAATTTAATGTATCTAATGAAATAAGACCTTCAAGACCTTGTATACGTGTTATATTATTTGATGATAAATCAAGATGTGTTAAATAATTTAATCCTGTTAAACCATTTATTCGTTCAATTTCATTTGAATGTAAATTAATTGAAAGTAAATTTTTATGTAAAGGTATTTCATCTATATTTCGAATACCAGATGCCATTAAACTAAGATCAGTTGATTTTGTATTAAATTTATCATTATTATTTAAATCAAAATCCATTATTTATTCTTAAGATTTTCTATATATATATATATACAAAATACTACATATATTTAATGATAATAATTTCAATTCGAATATATGATATGATTCATTTATGATTAATAACGACCTCTATGCGCATTAATGTGATAAAATAAGTAGAAAAAAATCATTCGGAAAGGTGTTGACAAGGTTATACAAAACATGAATGGCTGTTGTACATAGTTTTTTTTTTCTTTGTATAGCAGAACATTGATTTAGGTAACAACGAATACAAATGGTGGTCAGCGTTGGACTTATGCCAAACAGGTATCATAGATTGAATTTATCAATCATTGATCAAGATAAATTTTATTCCTCTTGGATAATTTAGAGATCTAGATTGAAGTTAATTCATCGGATCTTCTCCGATTGTTATAATACGGATAGAAATCTAATGGTTAAGATTCTGATAGTTGGATTCCAAGAAAAATCTAAATCGGAATTGTGCTTAATTTATAAGTTGTTCTATAGTAATGTTATTCACATAAATATACATGAGTTATTGATTAAAAAAAATATGTTTTCTCTAGTCGAGACTCCCTAGAAGAATCCCTGAGGGAGTTAAGAGGGGATTCAGGGACTCCCCAGTGACTCCCTATGGATTCACCAGAGACTTCACGGAGAAGAAGAAGAATACCCCGCCTTTCGGCTACCTTGCGGTGTAGGGTGCTGTCCGAGAACAGTTTCGAGAGCCCGATAATTTTCCTACATCTATTACTAAATGTAGCTCTGGGCAGCAGGCCGGCCTGACTCAGAGTTCTCCCGCTTAATCACTTAAGCTACACATACATACTGACTAACCACATACTAGCCACAAGGGCTTTAGTGTATGTCAACCACGTAGTCAGTTTGTTATCGGATGGGTGATCCGAGACAAAGCAGCCGTTAGTGACTTGTCCAAGGTCATTTTCTGACTGATGCAGCCGAGGTTCAAACACAGTACCTTGTGAGTATGTGTCGAGCATCTTAACCATTCAGCCATACCGGCCGACTTCGCGGAGACTTCCTAGGGACGCCCCAGGGAATTGATGAGTATTATCAGGGTCTCTTCAGAAGCCACCATTGGAATTCTCTGAAAAACTCAAATCTATGAAAATTTTAGAGGGACTCCCCGATGATTTCGTTAGAGAGAGTCGACTAGGATTTTCATCTGTTAGATTTTGCAAGAGAAATCTTTGATTTAATATTTATTTCTCTATGTATTCGTAATGTTTATAGTTCCGTATCAACATCTTCATCAGATGTTCAAACAATAATTCGATTAGCTGAAGAAAAAATTCGTGTTAAAACAATTGCATTAGGTCTTCGTGTAACAGAATTTTTTCATGATTTTGATCGTCTTCGTTCAGGTTATGTTACTTCATCACAATTTAAACGGTAAATATTGAGAAAAAAAAAATTCTTCTTTTATTTTTAATTATTTTATTATAAAGATGTTTGGATACTAATCTACGTCTTCAATTATCATCTGAAGAAGAAGAATTATTATTTAAAAAATATGATCTTAAACATGATGGTTCAATTTGTTATCGAGAATTTTGTGATGTTATTAATCGAAGTAAGTTTAATAATAATAAATTTGAAAATTTTTAATACAACAATCGATCAATATGTGGACTTAAAATAACAAATAACAGATTTAAAAAGTATTGAAATCAAAGAAGAAAACACTTAAACAAGAATATTGAATGCAACATATAAAAAAAAAACTATCTAAGCTCTCACTTTCCGCTAGAGTTGCACCGATACCAGTTTCAGTTTTAGAACCGGAACCGTGCATCTCTACTTTCCGCTCAGAAATTCTAATTTTTGTCTAGTTGTAAAGTCTTTTCAGCTATAGCCAGTGACGTATCCAGGATTTTTCAGTATGCTGAATCTCGATTTCCGAGCACGGGACCCAGATGAAACTCATAGAGGGTGATGTTGGATCCAAATAATGGAATTTTATCAAAAAAAATTTACACTCAAAGTTTGCGAAAAAAATTAGCATTTTCCTGATCCCCCCCTCGAGGATTTTTTTGCTGTTAGTAGTATCATGGTTTTTAGAATTTCATAGGAAGCTACACTGAATTTCATCGATAGTTTTCAAATGTCGTTTAAAAATATGCAACCGTTCAAGAGTTATAACTTTTTGAGTTTTTGCTACATGTGAAAACAATTTTTGCAAAATTTCAAATCGTCATAACTCTTGAACGGTTGCATATTTTCAGACGAAATTTGAAATCTATCGATGAAATTCGGTGTAGCTTCCTATGAAATTCTAAAAACCATGATACTACTAACAGCAAAAAAATCCTCGAGGGGGGATCAGGAAAATGCTAATTTTTTTCGCAAACTCCGAGTGTAAATTTTTTTTGATAAAATTCCATTATTTGGATCCAACATCACCCTCCATGAGTTTCATCTGAGTCCCGTGCCCGGAAATCGAGATTCAGCATACTGAAAAATCCTGGATACGTCACTGTTCTAATCGTTCATATATATATATATAAATGAATCTTATCATAGATAAATTCATTCTTAATTCTATGATTATTTATATTTTAGAATATCCTGAAACAACAATAACACCATATCCAGAAAATTTTACAAATGCTGCTCCACCATATCTTAATTCTTGGCGTTCAACTCGTCATATTGGTACACAAGATGAAAGTGAACATTTACAAAATGTTCTTCAACGTATTGCTATTTATTGTAAACAACGTGGTATTGATGTATTATCAATTATGGAACAATATGATAAACATAAAATGGGTGAAATAACAGATAGTCAATTTTATCGTGCTTTTGTTGGACCACAATTAACTGAAGCTGATATGACACTTCTTCGGGATAAATATTCTGATCCAGGAAAACCAGGTTTAATTAATTATTTAAATTTTGTTCAAGATCTTAATAGATATTCATATACAAATGAAACAATATTATCACAAACTGATAATAATAATAATATTCAACAAATTCCATTTGTTGGTATTGAAGAAAAAGTAAAATTTTCTTTTTTTTGTTTTTTGTTTGTTCATTGAATTTTTTATTATTTTATTAGTCTGAACAACGTTCAATACAAGAAATTCTTGATAAAATTCGTATAGCAACATTTAAATATGGTATACGTATATCGGATTTTTTTAAAGATTATGATAAATTACGTAGTGGAATAATAACTGAAGGTCAATTTGAAAGTGCACTTTCATTAAGTATACAAAAACAAGCTTTTCTTAATATGAATGATATTAAAAAATTAACTGAATATTATCGAAGACCTGATGGTCGAATTTATTATAAAGAATTTGTTGATTCAATGGAAAATGCTTTTAATATTCCTGAATTAGAAAAAAAACCATTAACACAAATTTCTCGACCAAGACATGGACTTTTATCAAAAGTAAAAATATAAATATATTTATTATATTGCTTTTTTTTTTTAAATAGCCATTGAATACAAATTTAACACCAGATGAAGAAGATCATGTATCACGTATACTTGATACAATTACTGAAAAAGTACATAAACGTCGTTTAGTTCTTTTTTTCATTTTTTAAACCATATGATCGAGTAAGTTTTTTTTTTGTTGTTGTTCCCAAAAAAGAAATTCAACAAATTTATATACGATTATCTTTAATAGAGTAAAGCATTTACACGTGCTTGTACTAAACATCAATTTGGTCGTGTACTTCGAACACTTGATTTAATTCCATCACCTTATGATTTTAATATACTTTGTAAAAAATTTGAAGATCGAGAAACAGGAGATATTAATTATGCATTATTTTGTCAAATGATTGAACAAGGTATGAAAAACATATAAATAGTATATGAAAAAGATGCAAACAAAATAGACTTTGTCAATCTTACTACATCCTATGTATCGTATTGTTTCACAGAGGAAGATCTAAAAAAACTCATGTAAGTTCTACCCGTAGGACTTACAGTGAGGGCCCAAAAAAGCATGTACATTTTTGTTTTTACGCATAAACGAATAATAAGAATACTCTGAAAATTTTCTTTCATATCGGACTTTGTAGAGCTTTTTTCGCTGATCATTTTGGTAAAAAAAAGTTTTTGATTTACATTGAGTAATGACGATGTTATAGTCAAAATACTAAACACTGTAATATAAAGTAGGGAAAAAAGTTTAGCACACTTTTAGTATTTGGCTAATTTTTACATTATTTCACAACATCTGAAAGATGTTCTATACATCATTCGACGCAGAATTTAATGGGCTACATTTTAGTAACAAGCACTTATACTTATATTGCAGTTAATTAATCAATTAATAATAATTAGCAATTAATTAATAAAATTTTAATTTTTTTTTAATTCCAACTCTTTCGTATGAAAGAGCATAAAAAACTGAACAAAACTCTATAATTACTATTTGGAAAGCAACGAATTTAGTGTGATTTTCAGAGTATGTTCTGTTGTAGTTAGATATAGTGTGTATTACAGTGTTTAGCATTTTGACTATAACATCGTTATTACTCAATGAAAATCAAAAAGTTTTTTTTTACCAAAATGATCAGCGAAAAAAGCTCTACAAAGTCCGATATGAAAGAAAATTTTCAGAGTATCCTTATTATTCGTTTATGCGTAAAAACAAAAATGTACATGCTTTTTTTGAGCCCTTACTGTAAGTCTAAAGTAAAAGAATTGTATGACCGTAAGCTATTTTCATAAGTAGCACTTAAGATATTGTATTCAATGAATGTAAAAAGTTTTTGTAATTTCCTCAGGCATAAATGCATAATGAAGAACAGTGTCCGACATGAGTTAATTTTTGGCATGATCTAACCCGAGTCGGACACTGACGAAGAAGTACAAATCTCAGATATGAACTTGAAAAATTTCTTTTTTTTTTAAATAGATTTTGTGGCAATTAAAGTTGAACCAGAAGAAGAATGTTTATTTGAACGTGCTCGATTTGATGAAGAACGAAAACGAGAAAAATTAAAAGTTAAAATTGATACATCCAATGTTAATCTAAACGATTTAATGGGTCGTATTCGACATCATGTTCTTATTAATCGAATTCGTGTATATGAAAAAAAAAATGATTTATTAATGAATGAATAATTTTTTTTTGCTTTTTATTTCGTTTCATATAGGTAAAAGAATTTTTCGAAGATTTTGATCCTCTTCGTTTGGGTACAATAAGTCAATCACGATTTATTCGTGTTTTGACTAGTTTAGGTCTTACTGGTATTGATGGTGTTCCATTAACTGAAGCACAAATGTTTGCTTTATGTGATCATTATCGTCATCCAGATCAACATGATCTTATATTATGGAAACAATTTGAACAAGATGTTGAATCAGGTTTCTTATTAAATATGACATAATTAAATAAATCTGATGTTTGTTTTTTTTTTTGTTTTAATTTTATGTAAATAGTTTTTACATTATCTGATTTGGAAAAATCACCAATAATTCAAGTTTCACCACAAACTATTTATGAAATGCCAACAGCTGGTACACCTGATTGGACTAATATTGATCCATTTAATAAAGAAGAATTACATCAAGCTATGCAAAATTGGAAAACAAAATGTGAACAACGACGTATTGAAATTGTTCAACCATTTAAACAATTTGACAAGTAAACTTAAATAATCAAATTTCACTAATAATATTCCTTATTTTGAATAGTAATATAAGACTTATAACAGTAATCATGAGATCATCAACTATACGAGCTAGACGTGTAAGCCGAAGGGTCGAACGGTGACGGCGGCTGACAAAAATTTTCAATTTTTGAGAATTTCCGACGGCTACTAATTCAATTTTGCAGGCCCTTTAGTGCCACCGACTGTAATTGTTTCAATTTTTTTAACAGAGGTGGTGCCGGCTGATAAATCTAAAAGAAATTTTTCAAGGGGGGGGGGGTGCCGACTCATTATGGGATGTGCACACCAGCAGCAAAATAAATTTTTATTTCTCAAAAAAGATATTTTACCTGTACTCCCCTCCAGGCGTTTTTTGGCCAAGAGGGGTGCTCGGGCACCCTGTACACACCCCCTGGCTACGCCCCTGCATATTATGCTAATTTTTATTCTCTACAAATCAGCACAAAAATATTCAACAAATAAATAATATTTTTGGAGCGAAACAGGATTCACATCTATCTCTTACATAAAGATTTTTCAATAGAAAACATTTTTAACAGTTTTCATTGTCCATACACAACTATAAAGCAAGATAAATACAACAGTCGAAATTAGTGTCAAAATCTACATTGAATCAAACATATTTTAGAAAAAATTCATTTATGATGATTATTTTGTAGAGAATAATAATTCGGAATTCTCTGATTTTGAGTTTCGATAGAAAAATAGATTGTTAACAAATTGTATTGGCATAACTCACACCGTTCAATGATTTGTTGAAATGAAAACAATTACAATTTGTACAGAGTATATTTTTCTACTTACTTTTTTTTTTTATCATGTGGATATTACACTAGTAAAAAGCAGAGATGTTCATAGCGGCGCGACCGCTGCCGCCGTGGTGGTGACGGCGCGGTCGCGGCATAGTTATTTTTGGGAGCGGCGCGTTAGTTCTTTTCTTTTATCGTCGCGGTGTGGCAGCGGTCAGTTCTTCAATCTCGATGAACATCTCTGGTAAAAAGTCCCTATTGAATAACGCTTTAAAGAAATATTTGATAAAAAAATCAATTTTTCTTTTTGTTGTTGTTTAGACATAATCGTGGACATGTAACACGAATACAATTTCGTCAATGTTTAGCTATAGCTGGTTTAACTTATACAGAAAAAGAATTACAAGCTGTTGAAGCAGCTTTTATTGATGATGATGGTTTTGCTTATCGTCGTTTTCTTGAATGGATTCAACCACGACATCGTGATCCTCTTCGTTATAATATTTTACAAGAAGAACTTAAAAATTTAAAAAAACAAAAAATTTTACCTGATATGAAATCATTAACAAGTATTCAAGATGTTTTACAAAAAGTTAAAGGACAAGTAAAAATATTGATTTTATTTTTTTTGTATGACTATCGATTTAAAAACATTAAACTTATTTTTCAAGGTATTTCGTCGTCGTATACGTTTATATGAATGGCTTAAAGATCATGATAAATTAAATTGTGGTCGATTATTATTTGATACATTTCGTCGTGCTTTAAATCCATGTCAATTAGAATTAACAGAAAATGAATTATCTTTACTTGAAGATTAGTAAGTTTATTTTTTTTCTGAAATTTTTACTTCATATTGTTCATTGAGTAATTTACCATCGAAAAAATCAAGTAAATTAGTAATTGTTGTTTCAGCTATATTTTTTAAAGCTTCTTCAGTAAGAAATGCTTGATGAGATGTAACTATTGTATTTGGCATTGATATTAAACAAGCTAATGTATCATCATCTACAACCTATAAATAATATTCTATATAGAATTTCATTTAACAGAAAAAAAAACAAATTTACTTCTTGACTAAAATCATTAAAAAAATAATCTTTTTCATTTTCATATACATCTATAGCAGCACCTCGTAATTTTCCTAATTTAAGACTATCAACAAGAGCTTTTGTATCAACTAATCCACCACGACTTGTATTAATTAATAAAGCACCTTGTTTCATTTTTTCTAAAGTTTCTTTATTAATTAAATGATAAGTTGAAGGAAGCAATGGTGCATAAAGTGATACTAAAACAAAGAAAATAAATTATTTCTAAGATAAATAAATATTTATTTTCTCATACCAATATCACTTTTTTCAAGTAATTCATCCATAGTAACATATATAAAACCTTTTTCTTTTGCTATTTGTTCATTTGGAAGTATATCATAAGCTAAAACTTGACAACCAAAACCTAAAAAGATATTAATTGCACACATACCAATACCACCTGTTCCAATAATACCAACTGTTTTACCAAAAAGGTCTATACCAACAAGACCATCTAATGTAAAATTATGTTGTTTTGTTCGATAAAATGCATGATGTAAATTACGATTTAATGAAAGTAATAAAGCTACTGAATGTTCAGCAACAGCATATGGTGAATATCGTGGTACACGACATAGTTTAAAATTATATTTTTCAATTGCTTCTAAATCAACATTATTATATCCTGCACAACGTAATGCAATTATTTTAACTGTATTACATTGTTTATGTAATTCTTCAATAATATTTCTATTAAGAATATCATTGACAAAAACACATATAGCATCAAAACCTATAGCTTGATCAACTGTTTCATCAGTTAATTTACTTTCAAGAAATGTAAAATGTAATTTTTGTTGACCATTTAAATCTTTTAAAGCTTGTCGAAATGTTTTTTCATCATATAATTTTGAATCAAAAACAAGAATTTTACGTTGTGACATTTAAATATTTATCTCTAGAATAGAATTATAATTATATATATATACATATTATTCAACAAAATCATTTATTGATCTTGATTAGTTATAGTGTTTTTATTTTTTTCGATAAAATATACATCAGTGATTGTTAACTATATGAAATAGGTAAATGATGCCTTCATAAACGAAAAAAAAAAATAATCAAAACACATCGACCACAAAGAAACAAAAAAAAAAGCACGAGACTGACTGATAGAAAAAGGGTAATGTTTTATTATAGCGATGATATTACGATTGATAAAGGCTTAAATCGAAAGATGTCGGCATACGAAAAACAAATCAAGGGTATATATAATTTATTATTAAAAGAAAAAAAAAAGCATTTTCGGCATTTAAAACTAATTTAGAAATTCTTTGAATAGTTACATATATATCTATTAATTTATAAATCTTATTTATATTTCTTTTTACTTTTTCTAGTTATCGATCACGTATTGATCCTAATTCAATTGAATATAAAAAATTTTGTGATGAAATTGAATCAATATTTACAACAGATTCTTTGGAAAAAAATCCACTTGTTGATTCTGAACAATATATAGCAATTAAAGATGCAACAAATATTCATTTAGATCCAGATAAAGAAGATCGAGTAGCAAATCTTATGGATAAAATGGCAAAACGCGTAAGTTTAATGTTCATATTTTAAAAAAAACATTTACTTTTATATTTTTGCTTAAAAAAAAAGGTTCATTCACGACGTATACAATTATTTCCATTATTTGAAGATTTTGATCGTGTTCGTAATGGTCATGTTACACAAAATCAATTTTTACGTGTATTAAATGATCTTGGTTTATTAACATTATTAAATGGTTTTGAAAAAGATAATTTATTAGAAAAATTTCGTGTTAAAATTGGTGGACGTGATGATATTGATTATATTACTTTTTGTCATGAACTCAATGGTTTAGCTGGTTTTGAAGCTGGAATACCATAATAGAAAACAAGCAGCACATTTATATTGATTTTGCTTTGACCTTGAACAAAAAAAATTAACACATATTTTATTTTTTATTCTTTTGACTCAACGAAAAATAAAAAAGAAACGAAACAATTTCCATTTGAAATGAAAAATTTTTCGATACAAAATTATTCAGATATGATTTTTTTTCTTCTGATCATTCTATAGTCATTTTCTAATAGAAAATTTCAGCTTGAACGTTTAAATAAAACAAAATGAATTTAATAAAAATATTATTCTTTTATCTCGCACCGACGTTTGTCGGGCTCAGAATATATTTCCCGAGATCAAATGTTCTTCTTATTAAATTCAATTTTGAATTAGATTCTGAGAAAAATCTCAATTACGTTTTTTTCGAGAAAATAAAGTTCATCGTAAAATTTTTAGAAACATAATTTTCTATACGAACTTCAAATACGTTATTCTTTTTTGACTTAAAGTTCACTTTTTCTAATCAAAATCTGTTAAAGATCAATAAAAAAAAAAAGAATGATATCTAAATCAAGATTCAAGTCGTTCTATTTAACCAAGATCACTTGGCTTAGAAATTCAAAAAGTATCTAATCTTGTAGTTCTTCATATTATATTTTTCTTTTCACGAGATATTAAAAAAAAGCTATTAACACTATCCCTACGGGATTAAAATGTAAAACACACTGTAACTGCTCTTGGTAATCATAGGAAGATTGTTTTATTTTATCTATTTGTAGCACAATTCTAAACGATCTTTTTACTTATTCGCCTAGAACTAGGCAATTGCTCGCTATAACAGTTACATAGGATCCTATAGCGAGCAATTGTTCCGATCCTATATTAGCAATAGGGTGCCGGTCACGCTCTGTTGACAGGAAGCGATCAGTTGACTTCTCTAAAATGAGTTTAAAACTACTGGTCGATAGCTCTTGTTATTATTGTGATTACACGAATTCTTTTTAAATTCTGGAATGGATCTTAGCAAGCTTTATTTATATTTCAAAATATGTAGAATTTATTTTAATATATTTATTTGGATAATAGAAGTTTTTAAAATAATATTTAAGATAAATAAAATTTTCTTAAAAAGAAAATATGAAGAATAATAATTCATTGAAAGATATGATTGAGTAAATTTTTTGAAATGTTCAATAGAAATGACAATGAAATTTTGTATTGACTTAGATTTTTTCTTTTTTTCCATAAAAAAAATCGAGTAAATTTTGAATAATTGATTCAGCAATTGTTTTTAATGCTTCTTCAGTAAGAAATGCTTGATGAGATGTAACTATTGTATTTGGCATTGATATTAAACGAGCTAATGTATCATCATTCATAACCTAAAATTAAAAAAAAATATATATTTATTTATATATTAAAGATAAAAGAATATTTTTTTTTGTTTTATCTTACTGTTTGACTAAAATCATTGAAAAAATATTTTTCTTCAAATTCATAAACATCTAAAGCTGCACCTCGTAATTTTTTTGATTTAAGACATTCTAAAAGTGCTTTTGCATCTACTAAAGGACCACGACTTGTATTAATTAACATAGCATTTTGTTTCATTTTATTTAAAGCATTTTTATCAATCAAATGATATGTTGATTTATTTAATGGTGCATACAAAGAAACTAAATAATAATAATAATTAAATCATTATTCAAAAAAAAAAAAGAATTATTCTTATTTATTCACCAATATCACTTTTTTCAAGTAATTCATCCATTGTTACATATTTAAAACCTTTTTCTTTTGCTATTTCTTCATTTGGAAGTATATCATAAGCTAAAACTTTACAACCAAAACCTAAAAATATATTAACAGCACACATTCCTACACCACCTGTTCCAATAATGCCAACTGTTTTACCAAAAACATCAATACCAACAAGACCATCTAATGTAAAATTATGTTGTTTTGTTCGAAAAAATGCATGATGCATATTACGATTAAGTGAAAGTAATAAAGCAAGTGAATGTTCAGCTATAGCATGTGGTGAATAATTTGGTACACGACATATTTCAATACCATATTTTTTAGCTATTTCTATTGATGATCCACTATATCCAGCACTACGTAAAGCAATTATTTTAACTGAATGACAATATTTATGTAATTTTTCAATAATATTTATATTTCGAGCATCTCGATTAACAATACAAATTCCATCATAACCTTGAGCTTCTGTAACAGTATCATCATTTAATTTACTTTGAAGAAATGTTAAATGTAATTTATCTTCACCATTTAATATTTTTAAAGCTTCTTTAAATGTTTTTTCATCATATAATTTTGAATCAAAAAATAAAATTTTTTTTTGTGTCATTTTTACTCAAATATATTTTTTGTTTATGAGAAAACTAAAAAAAAAAGAAAAAGAACTGACTAGATTAAAAAGCTCACATTAGTCAGCTCAGTAAAATTATAGTTATTATTATTCGTTATGTTAACGAGAGATAGATAAGCACAAAGTTTTCTTTTTCTTTCTTTAGTGAACATAATTTGACTGATGAATAATCATGTAGAATATGTGAACAACGACGAGAATGATTTTTTTTTCAAGAGTAAAAGAAAGAAAGGAAGAAACATGCATGACGGAACTAAGGCTTTCCTATGATAATAATCTTGAACTATACAAGAAGCAAAAAAAATGTCCTTAAAAATGATTTAATTATGTGTACTTTTTCATGACTATATGAAATTAAAAGTTATTTATATTATCTATATTTTTTTTTATAAACGAGAATTCCTATATTATTTGCTGCTTATATGTTATCTTATGTTTTCTTTCACTTGGATTGCATTAATTTAATTATCGAAAATGATTATTGATAAATTATTAAGGATACAAAGAAGAAGAAATTAATTTATCATAAAGTTTTTTTTGTTCCGAAGGTGCCGTTTTTCATAGATGTATAAGTATTTATGGCAAACAAATTGTAAAATTTGAATCGGAGCCTTCAATTATACATTAAGAGACTAAAACGAGGCAACCATTCATCCTAAACTATATGACATAAGTTAATGACCAACTGTGCTTCCCACTAACAAAAACTAATTGATTATCCCAGCAAAAAATTTTCAAATTCATCTATTATACATGTTAATAAAAGGGAAGAACTATGAGTATTTCTTGAATTATTTTTGATAGGAACCCAATAAAGAGTTATAGTTCCCACTATTACAAAGAGAAGATTCAGGCACATAAATGCATACTGAAATTTAATTGACGAGGGTGTGGGTGTAGATGATATAAAGAGAGACCCAAACCCACAACCGAGAATGATTTTTTCAAGTAAAAAACCTCTTCTTATTATGTTTTTTTCCGTACATACATTTTGATTTACTAGAATATCGATTAAAAAAAGAACTTATGAGATTATTATTGTATAATTTTCAGTGATGAAAACAAAAACCTCGTTTTCTATTTACTGTTTCTTTTTGGAAAATATAGTTAAGAATTAAGTTCAATTAAGACATAGTCTTTCGTGCAGGAAACATCAAAGATTAAGTTTGATTCAGTAAGAAAAAAAAAACAATCACCGAATAATATGTTTTAACGAAATATATATGAGGTATAGTTTTTGATTGTTCTCAAACTTTTTCATATCTAAAATTCCCTTTTTTTTTGTCAAGCATTAAGTACTATGAATTTCAGTATCTTGTTGCAAAATGATGTTAATGATCAAGATTTTTAATCATATAAATCAATTGTTATACTAATTAAAGAGACATTTTAAAATGTTTTTGTTGAAATAATTTATCTACGAAATACATAATGTTTTCATTATTAACATAATTAAGTAGAAAACAAAGAAGATATGAACATGAATTTTCTCACTTTAATATAAGATAGTTAGATACACGGCATCGGATTGAGATATTCTACTTGATTAATCGTTTGACACTTTTGATATTGTCTCAAGTGTCAACTCTTTGCATTTTATTCTTCATTAAAAAAAAAAAACTGTTACTCGATTGTTCCGTATTTTTTATGTGTATAAAATTGATCCGAATTTTTTCGATATCTTTAGTAACAATATTCATCTTGACTCATGTCACTGGGTTTTCTCATAAATTCTCAGTTGTCAGTCTTGAAGAGGTTTTCCCCAGAACTCTAATTTCTTTTCTTTGTGAAATTTCCCTTTGTTGTGTTCTGACCGATAGGAAAATCAGCTACTTATGTATCATAAATAGAAAAAATGTTACAAAAACTAGAGAAGTATAGTATTATGCTTTCGTTCTGCGATGATGTTGTTTCTTTTTCTTCCATTCAGATAATATTTATCGGTTCTATACTATAGACGAATGATTCAGTATAGAAAAAGAGAACAGACGAGTCTGATAGCGAACTTCTAACCGTAGTAAGCAACCCAATAATCGAGTGTGTTTGGTCAAAAAAACAAGAGAAACTACCTTTGAATAGATATAAGCAGAATTAAGCTTGTTGACGTACAGATTTATGAATGTAAAGAATCAACGAAGTACAGACACTAGTATATAATTAGTCTTGAATTTAAACAATCTTTTTAATCGTGTTCTCAGTACTTTGACGCTTTTTCTTGTCGTTCGAGCATATTACTCATCTTGTTTGTTGTTTATTCCGTGGGACGAGAAAAGAAAATTGTATCATATATTCTTCTACTATTTTTCTCTTCTATATTATGGGACATCATCTTATATAAGTAATACACATTGTAGAAATAGCTGATTAATTGATATTCTATGACTATTTTATAGACAGTGATTTTTTTTTTTAATCAAATGAGTGGAGAATTGGATTTTCGAGCATTACTGCTCAAAATACAAGATCTTCTATCCGACAATGATCGACATCGTTTTCTTTTCCTTCTTGGCGAAGATGTTCCCAGATATTTGCGCGATGATCCTTCACTTAGTGGAACACTTCGCGTACTGGAATCTCTTTTTGAAAAGGCAATAATCAGCAATCAAGATTGTGATTATCTTATTAAAGCATTTAAGAAAATACATTGTAATGATGCTGCAAAACGACTTCAAGGTTTGTTCCTTCTGTTTCTTATTAAGATTCACTTTTTAACGAGCTCTTTATATTATTTCTTTTTCAGAATATCAGCTAGCATTGGAACACTTTAGTCAACGAAGTTGTTCACTTCAAGATATTCTTTTATTCGACAACGATGATGAGGATAAGATGCCCTCGGCTAGTTCGTATCAATAGGAGGCTTTACTTTGTTTACAATTAGAAATTTTCTTTCAGGATTCATACGTATCCCATCTGATCCAAATTCGACTGTAGGTCATTCAACCTCGTGTACAGATTTAAATCTTGAAAACAAACCGTCAAAATCATTACTACCTGTGCATAACGAAACGAAAAAACACATTCATGGATCTCGATGGACTTATCAGATATGCCAACGACAATTGAACACTTGTGAATGGATTTTACTTATCAGCAATATTCTGATTCTATTGAGTCTTCTTTTAACTATGTATTTCTCGGGAACATTTGCTCCAAGCTCTTCAATGAAGAATTCAGGTAAATTAATAGTCATTCGAATGATATATCAGATAGTGACCGATGCAGAATGTTTTCTGTAGACACCTTTCACTCTATTTGAGAAAGTTCCAGTCAATACAGTGACTAGCACAGGACGAAATCAACTTCAGATAAGTCTTTAGATTCATGCATTCAGATTGAACAACTTTCGTGAAATAAGTTGATTTGTGGTTGGTTGGTTGGAGAAAGTTTTCATTGTGATTATAATGAGAAATCACTCATAGCATTACAAACAATCATTATTTTCGAGTTATATCCATCAATATTTATTTATTCACAGAAGACATGAAAATTTTTAATCCAATCGAACTTGAAAACATCATCACTATCGACTTCCATATTTTAGTGTCTTTCTGTAACTAATAAAGATGAATATGTATACTATTTAAG